AAATTCCTGAACCCTACTGGAGTGTCTGTCTGTAAATTAGTAACTTCTCAGTCCTTTGTGAGCATACATCTGAACCAGACTTACTAAGCAGTTTGAAAGTTCTCTTTGTTGATAGTTTCTCTACACTGGAAAAAATTGTCTACACTGAAAACAACTTTTTTCAATAAGAAAAAGGATTTTTTCTTTTTTAATCAGAAATCTGAGGTAATCAGGTATGGATTATCTGTGAAGTGCTTTCTGGAATCTACAATCACATTTTTTTATGTCCTTAAGTGATGCAGTTGTTCACAGATATGCCACCTTGTCACTGATGCACATTGATGAAGGGATAGCAAACCCCACTTTTACACACATACTATTACTGTGAGTATGTTTGAATGATGTAGTATCCCAATTTTGAGTAAGCTTTAAAACTAAAAAGGAGAAAAATGAGCAACTCTGTGAGAGGAAAAAAAGCAACAGTCTCACACTGGGCCATTATTGTATGTAGGCATTAATGCATAATTTATTTCATAAATTATTTAAGGACATGTGATGACGCTGTTTCCATTTTTAGAAAAACTTCAGCAAATTCAATGTCCTAATCACCTTTTTTTTAAGATGACTTAATTATTTGCAATTTTTTTTAAAGAAACACAAAGTTTAAAAAAAATAAGTCAACAACATCACCTTGTGTCTCAACCAGGCATAGGGCTGACTCTTTAGCAATTTTTAGACAAGCATCCCTCATGAAAGATGCTTTTTGTTCTTTGGATATTGTGATTCCAACTGATTTCTGAGACTCCATTGACTATCTGCACATGATTGTTCGCTCAACATTTGTCTATCGCTTCTCCGCAGTTGAAACATCAGCATTAATTACTGTGCGGTGTGAAATGACCTTTATGGTAGCCATCTGAGGGGCATGCTACTTCTGACAATGGTGTCTCACCTTCTACTTCAGCCTTTCTATTCCCTTCTGCCTGCAAAAGTAGTCTGGCCGAAAAATAACTTGTCCGAACAAAGAGATTAATTTTCAGACAGATCATTTCTCTGGGCTGGTTCACCACACGGTGAAACGTTTGTGCTGACATAATGGAGGATGTGGGAAAGTGTGGTTAGAGCTATGACAACTTCTTGCAGCAGCCAGAACAGTCTCAAAGAGACAGTGAAACCAGAGCTTTTGAAAAATTAACTGGACTAAAAACAGAGTAGGAGATTAAGAGGCCCAGATAGACACAAACGATAGCTCTTTGACAACCTGTTTTAGTGGTTGGTCTTGTATCCTCTATGTACAGCATTATACTGACTGTACTGAGAGGGGAGTCACAAAAATAAACCTTCGGCAGTTTGTACGGCTCTTTCGCCACAAAAATAACATATGGAATGAGTACAGAGGAGCAGCAATATGCTCCTCAATACAATATTAACATATGGCAGAATAAAAAAAAGGTTCTTGCCTCCTTTTCTAGATTTTCCTGTGTGTCCACACTAACTCAGCCCTAACAGAAACATCTGCTTGTGCTTAACTTCACTAATTCTGTAGTTGTCACTACAATACATTTCACAAGATGCTTTACAGTAATTGCTCTTTACTGTGGGATCCCTCAGGTGCAAATTGTTTCTTTTGTGGCAACAGTTTTAAAGGGACTAAACTTTGTAGCGATAGGAACAGCTAAGCCAAATACAATGATAAAAATGCACAGTTTTTTCAGTACAACTCTATCCACACTTTAAAGCATTTCTGCTGGCATGGATATGGGTTTCAGAAATCACACTGCTTAAGAGCTAGGCCTGTGGGAATCTGTAGTGTAATGCCCATCCTTAAGGAGAAGCACTTCTTAATCTTTTTTGCAAGATCAGGCCATCACCTTCTGAACAGTAATTGTATTACATCTGCACTGTGCACAGTGCTAAGCAAATAACAACGGATAATTAACCTTAAATGGTCTTCATGGTAGACTACAGTACAAACAGAGGAAGTAGCAGTAACACACATGTGCATGTGTGTATTTCTGTGGTGTTTGAATAAACCACTTAATAAAACTGTGCTGATACATCTTTGGCCCTGATGGTCACAAAGCAGGATATACTTATTAATGCCATAGAATATCTGCTACATGTAGGACCACATAACAGGCTTACACAGCAGGTGAAGTAGGATTTCTCTTAATCATGTTTTTGCTAGCCTATGAAGTTTCCTTTTTTTCACTTCTTCCTTGATCCTTGCACAAAACTTATGAATCCAATTTCATCTAGTCTGTTACTGGCGTGGGTATTTCTCTTTCCCTGACAACACACACCTGCTTCTGTACTTAACTCTGATACTTATCATCTAAAAATCAGTAACCTAATTAAGAAATAAAATGCAATTTAAAAAAAAAAATAATAATCTGGTTCTGTTCAAAGGAAAGATTTTTTTTTTTCAGGTACAGTAAAAGGTAAAGAATTCTGAATAACAGTACAATTGCTAAACATAAAAATGCTGTATGAAAGTGAAAGAAGGATTAGTGGGACTCTCAGTCCATTCGAAATATTTTAAAATAGGCTGCACAGAGCAGGAGCTTACATACCAAGCTGAGCTATTTGATAGATTATATGGTCCTTTATTTTCTACTGCTAAGACTGGAGGTTGCACTTGAATTTGTTTGAGGAATATCAGTACCATACTATTAACATAATAACATACAATTATGCAATATAACTGCTTCCCAGGCAAAATGCAAAATACTTATCACCAGTGATGAACAAGCTCTACAATGGGACCTGAAATACTTACTTGCTGAAGTACTCTTCTTGTGTTCAACTTTATAACGGGCAGGTTTACCATGTCACACTAATTTATTTCAGAACATATTGTGTCAGTTTAAAGCAGCTAAAACCACAGCATTACAGAAACCTTACAGCTAGCCTCTGATAAAGACTACACCATCACTAAAAGGTTCATCCTCTTTATTAAGGAAGTTTTGCAGTCTTCCTGCCCCCAGCAATTTTAAGTTCCTGTGACAAGTACCATCCGTGTTAAGAATTTTCGCAACATCCTGAATGCTTTGCCTGTAGAAACAGATTTTACAAGGACAGCGGCATGAAGTGCTTTAACTGTCACCAACCTGCTTAGCAACCTGCAGCAGGATCACAGAGGCACTTTCAGTATGGGTGCTCAGTCCTGAGACTTGAGCAGCAACGTGCCTGTGTACCCATGTTGTATCTGCTGCCTATTGACAAACAGTAGGTGTCAGATGGTAACAGAAAGCAGAGAATGTTAATTCAAAGCACTGGAGAGCATTAGTCATGCTGGATTGCCACGGTAAATTCTGCCAACATATTCAAGATACAGGTAATAAATCTTGGGGTTTCTGGCTTCCCTTCTTCCTCCCACCTTTCAGGAAACCCACGCCCAGTCACACTTCAAAAGTAATGAAAAGGAGCAGTGTTAGGCACCCAGATTAAGCATATTCATGTTGCTTCAACACAAAAAAATAAAACAAACACTCCAAGTTAAACAAAAAGAGGAAGTTTTTAAGTCTTACTCCATGAACTTCTGCTAACAGCACCTGTGCCACTATATGCTTCACCATCGCTGAAGCGTTCATCATCAGAATGTTTAAAGGCTGTACAACATATAAATTGGTTTGAGAAAAAGGAATACCCTGTATTAATCCTGTAGAAGCAGAAAGACATACCAGGCTTCATGGATTTAAAGATGGTTAAATAGTAGTTCAAAAGATTGGGAGAAAATTCAACAAAGTGAACATAAGGCTGAAAGCAATTTAAAGGCCGTTTATCACAGTAATTACACAAGTAGTTGAATGTTTTTCAAACAGAGAAAGTGTAGCGAAAACATGCCTGAGAGAAATAATTTCACTGATCACGATGCAGCAGAAAATAATTTGTTTCAAATCACACTTGTTTGCTTTTGCTTGCAGCTTTGCAAGCAGCACAAAAAAAAGTTGTATCTGGAGCGTAAATGTCATATTTTCTCAAGAGTGTAACTCATTTATCAGCATAAATCCCATTTCAAAAAGTAATACAAGCAGTTTAGGAACACGAATGCCATTAACTTCCAGTACCACAAGTGCATTTGTGTTCTTTGTAATAGGAAAAAAACCCAACTCTGTAACCTGTCTTCCTAAATTCCTAGGACTTCTTAAAATTAGTCACTCTACAAATTATTTGCATGAAATAATAACCATTAAATGGTATATGTAAGATACTGTAATATTAATTAACATTTCCAAGAGTAAAAAAGAACTTAGAAAATTCTTGCAAATGTGTTTCTATTTATCAGATGCCATTGTGATTAAAATTTGTAAGAAGTCATTTGTGAACTTTCAGAAAGGGATGTTTTTAAGCTGTTTCCTTAATTCTGCGCTGTATGAAACCGCAGTACTTCCTCAATTCCTCTGGAAGTTCACAGAAATTTTCTTGGGACTTAGCTAAGTGGTACAACATATGCCTCCCGTCTGTACACATAATAGACTCTGAAACCAAAGCGCCAAACTTATTAGCATGTTGTTACTTTGTCATACCGTATGTATCTGTGATTCGCATGTGCCGAAAGCTCCCTCAAGAGAACAGTCCCCTCACCTTCCACCTTATGCATCTTCTTACACAAATGTTTCCAATTAGGCAGAACCCCTAGATATACGCATCTGAAATAGGTGGCATTGTTCCAAAAAATTTACTGCTCAAATTCCTCTTTATGGGAGGGTCAAACCCAGCTTTGGGACAGCTTTACATTTAATTTTTAAAATCTGAAATCAGGAAATGTTCTCATTTGTTGATTTGGTTCAGATAAGATTTTTCTGAAAAAGAGGCGGGGTCCAGGACTTTGGGTTGGGTCAACTTTGGCATCTTTATTCAAATGCCATAATAACTACATCATTAAAAAAAGGCCATTACACAGAACTTCATTTCAAGCACTGCAAAATGAAGATGTCAAAGTACTTAAGCAGCTATCTTGAGCCTATATTACAGGTTACATAAGTGATATGGAATGGGAACTTAGCAAAGTTGCTCACCTTCTTCATCTGAAACATCGAGGACCTCAGTCATTGTCTCAGGTACATTTAGCTTGTGCTTCTCTGTTACAGTCTGCAAAGACAGAAACATCAATCCTCCAGTTAAACACCAAAAGAAGCACAGTATATTTTCAACAGCAACAGGAGTGGGATCTGCTGAGACATTTTATAATGTGTTTCCCCTTCCCCTAACTTTATTTTTCATCTTTACTCCAGAAGCTCCTATTTTCAGTGCTGTATAAGGTAACAATTATTCTGGCAGAGAAGTACAAAAAAATAAAGCTAATAAACTGGTCAGAGGAATGAAAGAAAAGAAGGCTCTCAGCAAATTTATTTATAAATGGTGCATGTAGAACAATTCAGCTCAATGTTTCCAAGATGATTTTAAAATGAATTAGGTAATGTCTACAGAAGAGCTTCAGAAAGTTGTATGTGGCATATGGAAATTATTAAATCGTAAAGCATTTGGAAATGAAGTTATGAATGATGTGAAATTTTTAAACTAAAAAAAGATGTGAAGCATTTACACAGATCACTTAAAACATTTCTTGCCCCCCCTCCAAGTGACTACACTGCATATTAATGATATCCTTTTCGTAAATCATGTATATTCCCCCAAATCACATATACATCACATATACAGGGGAAAAAATGTTATTTGAATGTTCTGATATATTTTGTGCACCTAAAAGCTTAAAATACTGTGATACAAAAGGCAAGTATGGATGGAGGACTGCTGGGAGGACACTGTTTAAGCGTGAGAGTATAGAGTAGAAGAACACTGGAAGTTTTTGTTTTAATATGATTTTATCTTCATAAATGACTTCAAGGAAGAAACAGATGATGTTCAGAGGTACTGAATCAAGAATGAGGATGTCCTTTTAGCATCACACTGGAGAAGGAGATGAAGAACATAATGAGAGAAATTGTAGGAAGTGCAAGGTGTGAAAAAGTTGCCTGCAGGAAACTATTCAGTGTGTTACGATACAGGAAACAAAATGCCAAGGACTTAAAAAAGAGCAGTGATCAGAACAGCATTAGTCACAACAGAAAAATAAGTATTTCCCTGGCTCCACCCAGATCTGCAGCCAGTCAGCTGAACTGGGGAGCTGTGGAGGGGATTCAACACATCGCCCTTTAAGGTATGTAGGAGCAGATGTGCCCGTTTGGCATGGAGAAGAATGTCAGGAGGCCATGTGTCTTGCGAAACTCCCACTGAGGTAGTACTTCACTCCCTATTGTGGATGGTATGTATCAAGCATAAATTAACATTACATGCAGAAGTAGTGAAAGAGCATACAATCCGAGGGATAATTAATGTCAGCCAAATCCTGAGTCCCTTATGCAATATGCTTTTGGGAAAGTGCCCACTGATATCAAGCAGTGAAGTCAACAGCAGTTTTTGTTGCACAAAACTTACTAGGTATTTCCCAATTCTGTTTTATACTTCTCTAACAACCAACAAAGATAGAATTCTTGACTATTATAAGGTACTGCACTTTTATAATTAACAAAGTTAACAACAGTGTGATTACTTTGGAAATTTTTTTTAAAAGTCTGCTTTACATTTTTTGAATATACTTAACTGTAACAGCAGTTTTCAGTTCACCCTCCTGAGGTACATGGAAAGAACAACGCCCTTTGCTTCAAATGGCAATCCCAATTAGGCCTCCTAAATTCACTCTTACCCATGATTCAAGACAATTAATTATTTCTGTTGCACGTTCTGTTTTGAAAATTAGTCTATATTCACTGAATGCCTCCACCAATATGTCTGACTTTCCCCCCCTGCATTCCCATGGCTTTCCTCAGACAGAAATGTCAGGCAGCGGTAGGGTGACAAAGCCAGCGACAACAGATGGGGAGGATGCTATCGTTCAGGTGACATCGACCTCGTCTCTTCAACAATATAGCAGTAAGTTAACAAATACATCGTAAATTTAAAAAAAAAGATCACTGACAGCAGGCTAAAGAAATAAACCCAGGTGAAGGGGGCTGTATATTTTTCAAGTGAAGTGGAAAGCACTGTACGTGAGTACCGATTGACTGGCATTGTAGTTGGCATTGGCATTGCAATTTTATCTACACAAAGTATACTGCAAAATCTTTATTACCAGTTCACATGTTCCCCACATAAAATAACTGAAAAGTCAGGGAGAAAAGACTAAGGCAGGAGGTGACCAAATTCTGAAGAAAGAGGAAAGAAGGTGTCTGCCTAGGAGTCACAAATGCTAGTTTTTGTACGTCTGCTCTATGACCAAAATTTATTTAAGAAAACTTGGTTCCCAACCTTAGCTTATGTACAAAATCCATTTGGTTAGAAGAACACAGAAGTGAATGGATGCTACAACACTCTAGTCCACAAGCTACAGGTATAGAAGTACATTGCATATTGTCTTTCTATTAACTTAGATCTGCAGACCCTAGTAACTAAGGTTTATTTATCATTATATCAATTTATTCATAAATTAGGATTTTACAGGCCCCTATACAATAACAATCTAGTCTCTGGCTAAGGCGCTGAGACATTATTATTTATGTACAGAGAAGTAATGATATTTTATTTACTTCCTGATTTTCCCTTCAGTCAGAGAAAATTATTACATAATTTAACAATTGAAACAAAGTTTGGAAAACAGAATCAAGAGAGTGTGCATGTGTACACACGCACACGCATGTTTCAGAACAAAAAATCCTCAATGCCATCTCTGGAACACTGAACTCAGCAAGAATCATTAATTCTACATCAATTCCAACAGAAACTGAGAATTACTGTTTTTCAATGAACTTTTCATATAATACTAGAATTTTTTTAATAGATAGGCACATTAGAAATGTCAAATATCCTCAACATTTAAAATCCATATCTAGCCCCACTTTGAAAACTGCTCAATGTATATTTCTCAAACTCCCTACTGTTTAGTGCCACAGAGAATTCAATTATGTGCTTTAGGCTTCTGTATTTAAGACTTTCATTGTAAGGCCAGATTTTCATCTGGTGGCATAGAATAATTCAGATATATAAACATATATGTACATTCAGCAATTACTTAACAGCAGTATACTGTAAACAACCTCAAAGCTCCTCACATATTCATTTGTCCACAGGAAGACTATGCCTGTTTGTATAGATACTCCAAAACTCAATTGCATAGCAAACCTTTGAAAGTCTAGCTTATTCTGATTTATTTCCTATTCAGCTCTAATCTGTGAGTAAAAGTAAATGCACTTTAGTCTCTCTATTGTTTTACATTCACGTGGCTCCACTAATAAAAACACTAATGCAAGGAAGAGGAAATTTTGTTCAAAGTTAGACCAAAGGCTTTGGCACTGGAGATCTTTTCTTTGTTTCAAATGCCAGTGACTTGAATATCAATAAAGCATCAGCCTGTCTAACATCCTCCATGCATCACTCAGCTACAACCTTAGAGAATGAAGTAGCTATGGTGACAGCACCTTTTTTTCAGTGCTAAATGCTGTGTTCTGGTTTGGCAACACCAACCCCACCATCTGGAGAACTTTACTGCAGGGAATGCCTGTGAGTGCCTGTTATTTTCCCTCCTTTTTAGGACTTGTTCTAAATCATGTTTAATCAACATTCCCCACCATGAACACCACCACCAGAGGTTTATATTCTATATATCCCTAAGGTACAGGATTCAGACAAATTCAGAGCTGAAAAATCTGCTGAGTTTATCGAGGGTTCCCACCTGACTTTTAAAAGCAGTGCTTTGTACACAGACACAGTTCAAAATTTCAGATTTCTCTTATATGCAAGCATTAAAGGTCAACTATGCAAGTAAGGTTCAGTATTTGATTCAGCCCTAAACCCCAAGCATCTGGTATCTGGCAGAAAACTCCATTACCCTCAAAGCTTAAAGAAACATTTACCCAAAGTAAATAACTCACAGGTGTCTTTTTGTAGTATAATCCCTATTATTAAAAAGCATCTAATATTTACATATGACAAGGTACAAGGCTCCACAGTGCAACACAATGTACGACAGAAAGGAAGTTACAACATGCATCAGGCATAAATGGAAAAAGTGTGCCAGGACACAGCACAGTGAACAGCAAAGGTGTCATTTGAGGCTAAAAAAAATATACTTTTGAAAAGAGCTAAAGTTTCTCAAAGAATTTTACCTAAATTTTTCTAGATATCTGAATAGATACATATTTGTTTATGCACGTACAGGTGTGATGTGCTATATGATTAAACAAGAACATGAAATAAACAACAGCAAAAACATACACTCTTTATTACGAGACTTCTGGAATTTGCTGGAATTCCTTGTCCAAAACTGACTCAGTGTGATCTTTGCAGGTCATTAATAAATCATGGCTCACTCTATTTGTAACCTGATGCCATGTTACTTTTTTTCCATCTTCCTTGGTTAATATCAGTGGGACTTGCTATCAGCATATGACAAATTAGCTTCCCATTTCCTTACAAGAGACTTTGGATTTCTTCCCTTCCTCTAACCCTCTCCCTGATTGAGCAGTGGCATCTCTCAAGTAATCTGTGCATTTTTATGGCTCCGACCTCCTAAACGACATCTAGATCTAATAGGTTTTCCAAACTGCTAATCTTTCTTGCATTAAAAAAAAAACAACAAAAAAGGAGCATGATCTTAAAACAGTGCTTCAAGATAAAATGCAGTAATGAAAATTTAGATTAAAATTAATTTCCTAAATTATGCACTATTTCTAATGTTCTCCCTTCCTACCTGCTAAAACATTTGTACATGGGAGGTAAAAGTCCAAGAAGAGAAAACATTCCCCTCTCAGAGTGTCAGAATATATCAATTTTTCCTGGCTTAAAGCAACAGTACCACATTGCTGAAGTTCCGCACATACTACTCGCAAATTCCAAAGTCAAAATACAAACTACCAAGAGTGTGGAGGACTGAGAGGACCAAGCACATAAGGAAAGATTCTTCCATATTTTGGAAAAACGGGATCTATTTGAACTGAAAGTGACTTGAGTAAAAAGATGATTGATGTGATTCAGAGCCATCTAGCGAGCATCATTAAGCTTGGCACCAGCCCATGGCTGGTACAGTCCAAATGCTAAGAAGCTTTCTGTGGTGTGCTGCAATGGTTGAGCCTCAGTAGGTGTCAAAAGTGTGGAAATGTAAGGACAGACTGAAAAGGAGAGGTGGAAAGAGAAACAGCGAAACAGGACAGGATCTAACAACAATGCACAAACTTCTGGAAAGTTTGGGTTTGCAGCTCAGACCCATATCTAGAAAAAAGTTTTACTCTGCTTTTGAGTAGTTGTTTTCCATCTGTATGCACGTTGATTTTGTTACCTAGCTCAGTGAAGCCTGTTGTGTTGCACACACTTCCACATGCTTAAAAGATACACTGAAAGCACTGTAGCAGCACTTTTGCAAAAATCCAACAGAAAGGGGGGGCTAAAACCAGAAAACAAAAAAAGGAAAGAGATACATGGAGAGTCCGAGGGAAGAAAAGAAAGACAACATTCTGAATAACGAAGAGAGACATTTTAATGCATCTGCAACTCACAGTTGTGGTGGTAGTAATCTCCTCCGTTACAACCTTCAGCGTATCGACCACTGAGATATATCCCAGACGCCTTGCAATAGCTAAGGCAGTGTTACCATTCTGAAGAAAAAAGAGAGAAGGGGAGAGAGAGCGCGCAATGAGAGGGAGGATTGTGATGTGAACCAATGAGATCACTCTCAACACTGCATGAGCCAGCATTTCCATCCAAAACAAGGCACAGCCTAGGAAAATCACTGTTTTTTTACCGTTACATCTGACTCTGTCTTTGTAACTTCTTTAAGACTATAGCCCTGATTACCATGGTAACACAACATACTTACATCTGCCTGCTAGTCTAAATGAAAAAGTGCTGTATGGTTTAACCCTTCAGTGCTCAAATTTCACTATATAGAATGTGTCTTGTCTGCAGAAGTTCATGTTTTATTTTGCATAAACGGCTCTACATCAGAAATACTCTTCTAAAAAAAGTATTTTAAAATGTTACAGTTTCACTTCCAATTGAAACTGTTAAATCTTTATCAGGTACAATTCCCTCTTTGGGGAATACAAGATTACAGCTGTATTGTCCACATACACTTCTATTTCTTCTTACAACGAAAATGTACGTCCAATAAAAGTATATAAAAGCTAATAATTTAACAAACACAAAAACAACCTACATAAGGCTTGGGGGTGGGGAATTAATTTCCATTTAAGTAAATTTATTTGCAGTTTAAATGCCCATGATATGTAGATGTGCCATTCATCAAATGAACATTAAAATGATAATTTAGTAAGCGTTTAGGCCTATTTATCTCCATTTCATCACCTGGAACATTGGCAGTCCACAGTCATTCAACTTGGGGAGGGGAGGAAGAGATGTGTTCCATGATTCTTTGTAAAGAGTTCTACAAAGAATTGGTTTATGTTATTTTGCACTGAACCAAAGGACAACATGCTGGCCTACCGGGGGAATCATGGAAAGCCACTGTACCGCTCTTTGCACTGAAATGATTTCTCTCATGACACCGCTGCACTGCGTGCAGGATACCAGCCTGAGGGCTTCTCTCTGCTTCAGTACTGGCTTTAGTTATCTATAATTTACGTTCTTCTGTATTAGTCTAGCTCAGCAACCTCGAAGCAACACAGTGTTTGTGGATCAGCAGCATCAAATGAATAGATAAGCATCTTCACAGCACAAATAATTTGACTGTTACTGTCACTTGCACATTAACTGCTCGTATCCCACTCCCACATCCCCCTGCCAGATGTCTCAGGTTGAAATTCTCTCTTATCTCAAGCCAGAGGTTGCTATGTGTAGACAAGAACAGATCTAGTACCTGAGAAAACATGCAAACTGTGCAGTAAAGACACATTCTTGAGACCCTGCTTGGATTTGGGTTAGATTTGGGCATGACAGCCCCAACATGAGGACTGAAAGCAAGTAAAGAGACCTTTGGTTGAATATGCCCAATAGTACCTGCAGACCCAGAAGCTGACTACAATGGTCTCTTGCCTGATGATCTGGTGCATAAACTGGTATTTTGGATAACTTCGCAGAAGATAATTCAGTGTGATTGTTCCAGGACCAAACAGGGCGCCAGTGCTGATTTAAGCATGCACAATATATGTACACGGAAACCTGATCCACTCTGGTGAATGACACGAGTTTTGGACATTCTGGCTGCATTTTAAAGATTACTCCATTAGAGGTGACTAATAACAACATCAACATGAAATAGGACAGTTGCATTCCTGGCTGACTGCGGAGAAGGAGCTGTGCCAGAAGTTATTGACGGTCTTTGAGGAGGCATTATCATCAGTGAACTCAGTAAGAACCTGAAACAGATCCCGTGGATAGAGGGACAGAGATTTGGGTCTAAATCTTAAAAAAAAGCCCAGGTTCTGATTTCCCCTTAATTTTCATGGAAAAATCCTTATCAAGATACCAATTTACAGATGGAAGTGTTCAGGCAGAGGGCAACTGAACAAGCACAACACAGCTAGCCGCAGCAAGCCTGACCCTGCAGCTCAGAAATCAGTTTTCCCACCTCACATTTAGCTTAGTGCACAATGAGTTAGATCTGATCTGAACTACCTTAAGGGGATAAGGAAAAGAAGAGGAAGTTAGATTTACACATCTGACAACCAGCTGCATGAGGAATACTTTCACCAAAACAAAGGCTTGCTCTCAAGCCCTAAGAAAGGACAGAAAAGAACTGTCCAGGGAAACAAGTTCCCACTGGCACTTCACAGACTTACAGTGGTGATGGCGTTGGGCTTGGCCCCATGCTGGAGAAGAACGTTAATGATGTGAGTGTGGCCTTGTTGAGCAGCTTGGTGAAGAGGGGTGTACCCATTCTGTTGTCCACAGTGGTTACGATACAAGCAAACAAACAAAGAACAACCACCAGTAATTAGATTAAACACTTTGCTTTGCTTCCTTCTGCTCCTTTTGAGACATTTCAAAAAGAAATTATGCCATCAATCAACCCAAAGATAATAAATCTTCAGTAATAATAATACTCCTTCCCCAGATTAATGAAAAGGAAGATAATATTTTTATTCAAAAATCATTTTTCATCTCACAATATAAGCAATCTCTGGAAGGATAGATAATTCCTCATTTCCTAAATCAGAGGGAGGAACAATGAGGAACAGTAAAGTTAAAGCGGCATGCTAAGGACAGAATCTTAGCTGAGGCAGAGAACATTTTTCTTCCTCTCATATCTTAGTTTTCTATAGAAGCCCCAAGATTTGCCTCTAAAATATTTCAGCCAATTTAAAAAATATGTAACTTTTAAAAGCAGTGATTTGAGACTATTTGCTTTTAAAGAGGCTAACAACATATACCTATTACAGCTGTCAATCAATTTTAGCTTTACTTTGCCTTCAAAAGGCTTGACCAAACTGTAACTACACTTAAAAGCATGTACACAACGTCTGTATTAATAAACATGCTTAACTCCATATACTTATCTGCTCCAGTGATTCAGTCTAATGTTACATAATACAGAAACATAACCAAAGCGTACTTCAGCTAGTTGATCTGAGATAGTATTGTCTAAGTCCAATCAGGCAATTCATTTACAAAATCATTTGCAACTGGCTTTGAAAGCAAGCAGAGAATAAACTGGAAGAAAACACCAAGTTGATCTCACTCTACACTTATGTAAAGCCTGGGGGCAGGCTCTGAAAGACACACTCTGAGATTCATCTCTTTTGCAAACGAATAGATGCAAGTAATGCTTTGTACTGCTAATTAAATAGTGATAGTTCAGAACTGTTACAGTTCTTATAACTATAGTATGCATGCACGGACTACTAAGAAATCGAAGGAAGATTTTACTGTAGGTTGTAGAGCATATTAAATTGGCTCTTTGCTTAAATATTAGTGCAGTCCTTCAAAAACAGAATTCAGCTGTATTATTTTTCACTGGAGATGGCACAAAGCATCATGCAGGCTTTCTCTAGTTAAAGACCAGGCTGCAATAGAGGTTACTTATTCTTTAACATGCCTATCCTGAATCCAGCTAGGATGGATTTGCTTTTTAAACTGAGTCCACAGTAACAGTTGACAGACTGCCAGTATTTTTATTGGTCCCTAGACGCAAGGTTTTGGAGAACCACTGCCCCATACTCTCATACAAACTTGCTGACTTTAATGAAATTATTCTGAGTAAGTGAAATCCCAGGGGAAATGGCATCAGAATCTGGCCCAGTGGCCCCTTAGACATAGAGTGAGTCTTGATACTAAAGATGCAAGTATGTCTGTCCCTTCAGTTAGCCTCCAAATACCTCAGCTGAACGTCCTGGCAGCTATGATTTGGATCCTGCTAGTGTCTGCTTTATTAATTCTTATCAGCTGTTTTTCTAGTAGCATTGCCTGTTCTTTTGGAATCCCTAGGTTTTGCCCATTGATTTTGGATGATCTCATGAGGGGTGGGCCAGCATCTTTTATTTATTTACTTTGCTGTTTCTTACCACATTGACCTCTGACCACTGTGACGAAATAGTGCTACTCTGAGAAATGAATCTATCCCATAGGTCACAGCTGGGGTCAGAGGAGCTGGCCGGAGAGACCAGCAGACCACAAGCCTATGATTTTGATTGGACCTTACAAATACTAAGTATGTCACTAGAAATATTGATGGACTTCTTCATGTTGATCCCAAGACATCCCATCTGAAGCTAGTAGCTAGCTATTGCCTGAAGCCAGCTTTAACTAAGCTGAAGCCCTGCAGCTCCTGAGTTAGCCTTCTCTTTCTGATAAGGGTGATGCGATGGTATCTGGGATGCAACACACTGTTGCTGTCACCAGAACCTCTCTGTGTATACTCAGGAGATACACAATTCTTGCTACAAAATGCATCGCATTCAGCTGTTGCACCCACCAGTTTATACTAGAAGAAACTGCTGAAGCCACTGGATTTGGTTCAGACTTTGGCTATAGACAGTCAGGTCCATTTCAGTATAACCGGTCAGTAACAGTGTACCCAGATTCCCCTCAAAAAAACCCCAAAATCTGTCTTCAGTAAACTGCATTCCCCCACCACAGCTGCTTCCTCTCCCAAAGTCATACCACCCACGCTTTGATCAGCAGTAATTCTTCCAACTCTTCTCCCAGCAGATTGGAGAGAACCTGGCATCGCCCTCAAAGTGTCTGAATTGTTACTTAACTAGTTTGGCAGCACACCGGCATTACACTGGCGTAAACCATGTGTAAATGAGATCAGAAACAAGCTCGCATTTGTTAGTTTGCAAGTAAAAAGAAAAAAACCAATGATCCTGATTCTCTACCTCCTTCTTTCATATGCCTGAAGAGTTGTCTGACTTCTCTTTTGTGAACACTACACAATGAGATGTAGCAGAGAGAACACATTCCACTACAGCCACGAATCACCATATATTGATGCCTACCACGCAATAATTATAGTTTCCTAGTACAAAGGCACCTATGGTATTATTTGTAGTGCTTGGTTACCAGGTTCATAATAAAGAGCAAAAGCAAGCAATAAAAAATTCTTTACCTTTGTTTTAGCATTGACGTTTGCTCCCTGCTTGAGAAGAAAATTCACCATTTTGATGTTTCCATAGTGACACGCCACAATTAAAGGTGTATAACCAAGCTACAATAAGAGAACAAGGAAGTAAAACTGCAAGCTCAGTGAAACATTCCTTTTACAATGGTAGCATCCTTTAGCACACTAGAGACAGTAGCCGCTCCATGATTTACCTTTGTCTGAGCATCTTGGTTTGCACCATGTTTTGTGAGTATTTCAGCTACATTCACTTTATCTTCTTGAGCTGCAAGGTGTAAGGATGTCAGTCCAGTCTGGAGGTAGAATATATAAAATAAATAAATAAGAATAAAACCTACTGTACATGAGGAAAGAAATCTAGACTTTCCCACTTTCTCATCTTTAAAACATGAAGAGATCCTAACTATAGCTTCTAAGTATGGGTGGGGGTTTTTAAACAAAGTAGAGTTGACGTTTCTCCTGTTCCAGCTGACAAACAGCTCCAAAGCAATTACATCACCATAAGCACAGAGTAAAACTTCAGGCATCAATGATCACGCTCAGATTTTATACAATAATGTCACTTGGTTAGCTGAGGAGCCCATTAATTAATCAGGGAAGCACATTCACCGTGCTTCCCACTCCTCAGACGGGAAAGGGAACCTTGACAACTGCAGGCACGAGTCAGAATGAAGAAAATAACTCCAGAAATAGATCCCATTCAAAGACACCAAGGAAATGGATGCAGCCTTCAACTAAAAGCTTGCTGTGATCACGCACAGAGTACTTGCCTGTGAACAAGGCAGGTAACAAATTTTGTAAGAGAAATGAAATTCACCTTGTTTTTTATTGGTTAGGTAGCACAATTAATGCCAGACAATGAAAGACTTGAGCCTTCTATTTTGACTTGTATGAACAAAAGCTGCTGGCTTTTGACCTTAAGTAACTAAGACTTACATATATGCCTGGATAAATCTGGTGACCTATGAAGATCTACAGTAATGGGGTTTCTTTGAGGAACCTGTTTTCTGTGAAAAAGGTGTCATGTACAATCATAAAAAACAAAACAAAAACAAAACCAAAAAAAACTGGAAAGGTCCTCCATGGGATTTTTTTACTGGATACTCCCACCCACAGTACTTTGTCTCTGATTGTGAGTTACCTTTGTTGCCACATGGATATTGGATCCTTTCTCCAAAAGCAAGGTCACCATGTCAGTGTGACCTTCTTGAGAGGCCAGATGAAGTGGGGTGACTCCCTGCTTGGTCAAAATGTTAGTCTCAGCCCCATAGTTCAACAGAGTGGTAGCTATCTGCATCTGATTTTTCTTGGCAGCAATATGCAGAGGGGTGTATCCATTCTAATACCAGCCAGGAAACAAAACGAGAATAAAGTTAACACGACAGCCATGTAAGCCTAAGAAGTCAGGCACCATAGAACAGTATTATTTTGTATTACCCCTTATTATCAGAGATGAGAGTTCATTAAATTTTCAAGGCCAGACATGTCCCACATGGCCCTGCTGTTGTGTTACTTTGTCCGTCTGTTATTTTCACCATCTAAACTAGAACAAAGCCAGCCCTCATCCTGCTAGGGTGAGCAGGACTGTTCAGCTGATACCTTCAAATTATCGCGAGTTTGACACCTACATTCTGAATAACCTATGTTGTAAATATTCACTTTTGACTGACGAGTGACATTCTCTGCAATGAGTGATGGGTGCACACTCTTCGTGGCATTATGCTTTTTTGGAGCGTGTGGGTAGAGGTGTGTTTGCGTGCGGAATTTTGATACATGTGTCAGTCACGGCACTAGCTGGAAACAGCAATAGGGAGGAATGTTTTTCTGATCAAATTAACCATTTAAGCAAAGTAGTATAGCATTGATGGTATTTTCTGGCAATAAGACAACTTCCCACCTCTAACTGCTTTACAACGCACTGTGGGAGAAAATTCTGGATTACAGCAGACAGCCCCTCTGGAGGTGTTCAGTTGGTTGGTCTGTGGTTTTGTTGTTGTTTTTTTTAAAGGGAGCTATACCAAACTATTCTATTGCAACTGTAGCTTTTGCTGCTCTCCACACACCGCAATGGAAACAACAGCTCTGATACAGACACTTAACAGAGGGGACCTATTTTTTGGCAGCGTGTACAACAGCAGCCTCACGCAAGGCAGAACATCCTGGTATCAGCACCAATTTGCTCGTTATTTTCCCCTTTTAGTAGCCTTTGCCTAACACGGTGCTATCATGCCACTGTTCCTAACCCCAGAATGAATTCTCCGTACGCATGGTCAGAATATACACATCGTTTCTAATATTACATAATACTGAAGTGACTTCCAGCCGTGACTAAAGCTCACAAACATAAAAACGGGCTGAGACACATACGTATTTCTTCTTTTTCAGCGGCGGTCTGAGCGCGCCGTACGCCAATTTAGGTGGGGGGGTCATCCAGCCAGGGCCAACTTCCCGCTAAAGGAACCTCACACGGCTCGGCCACTCGCCCACTCACGCAGCGACC